TTTATTATAACTGTTATATTTATTATAACTTATATTTATTACAACTGTTTATTTATTACAACTGTTGTATTTTTTTACAACTGTTGTTATATTATGTGTTCTAGGACCGGTAGATCGCAAAGCCAATATCGGTGTAGGGGCAGGACAGCCAACTCGGGACCCGAAGGTCCTGGGTTCGATCCCCGTTCAGTGCACATCATGGTGTCTCTGAGCAGGACACCCTATCCCCAGATGCTCTGCAGGCACTTTCCATTGCTGCCCACTACTCCACTTAGTGGTGGATGGGTTAAAAGCAAAGAGCCAGTTTTGCCATTGTATGGGAACATACCATGATGACAACACATAACACATTATTAGTAGATCGCATGACGAAATAGACGACAGACTTAAAATAAAATTGATTAAAAAAAAATGTTAATAGACGTCAAATTGTCTCTTGATTGACACACAGGGCAGCCAATCAGAGAACGATCTTTTCTGACACATAGGTCACCGTACATGTGCATTCAACTGCGCTAAAATAAACAAGTTGACTCGTAATAGCCTCCAGTTTATATCTAAACTCAAAAAAGTGTGTAAAATGAGTTGGGGAGCTGGACCAAGTAAGAAGCAAAAAAAATTACCATTTCCATATGGAATGGGGGGAGGACTTTTTTTTTCATGATGTCATATTTGATGTAGGTTTGCCTCATTTACAAGTGTACCAGAGCAGCATTTTCGGACTATGTTCATAAATACTAGGGCATTGACTTCCTTCTGTGAGCTGAGAAAGAAAACGGTGAAGGAACTAAAATCCCAGTTATCTGGACAGCAGTCATTTTTCTTCCAGCTGACCACAGCAGCAAAGCATCAGTCCAGGTGAGTCACTTTAATAATTGTTAAGCACAAGAAGTCTTTTCAAGACGGAGAGATGGTAAAAGAGTTATTTGTTGAAGCAGCTGACTCGTTGTTCAGAGACTTTAAAATAAACCAGAAATATTATCTTCATCAAAGCTCTCAGGTATCAAGAAATATGGTTACAGTTAAAAGCAGCTGCTGTCAGGACTGAACTTTTACTTTTGTTCAAGTTCTCAGGTTATTTTTCAAACATTAAGTTGTTCTTGTTGTTTTCTGTTCCTTTGTGTGAAGAACAGAAGTTATTGCTGGGTTTTCTTTATTATTTTGTACGTGGACAGTCAAAATAAATAGTCACTTTTTGAAACAAACTTTTGGGTTTTGTAATTTATGTTGTGTCCACAGCGAGCTGGGACTTATTCATTCAAGCTTTATTTATCCAGGTTAGTCTCATTGAGTCACAAGGACTCATTTACAACAGAGACCTGTTTTAGACAGAACATATAAAGTTCAGACAACAATAAACTACAGGAAAATGCAATTAAAATAAAAGTAGTCTTATAAAACAATAAATCAAGGTGCCATATAAAACATGGTAAAATACTAAAAACAAGAATATAAAACATAAAAAGCATACTTCATGTTTATAAATAAGTATATGTTTTGTATTTTTTTAGGAGGTAGATCACTTGGACTTGGTCATTTTAAACGTAGGTCCATGCTGAAAAAGTGTGGTCACCCCTGGTATAAATAATCCTCCATCATCAACGGGTTTCAAAAGGCTGGCCTGCTGCTTGATGAAGAGGACAGCACAAGGTCATGGGTGCAGGAGGAAGCTGAGACAGCGATCGATGACTTCCTGGTAGGCTACTGTATTCATTTATTTTTTTACCAGCCGTGTTACCGGCAATGTTCGGAAAAAACATTTACTCTATGTATTTGTGCATGTTACCGGTACGTATTTAATTAAAAGTTTTTAAAAAATCTTTCTGTGTAAATATCTCATGTTACAACGTAGACACCCGCAGCTTATAGAGAAGTGCGGCCTATATATGTACAAAGTTTAGTGTGGGCGTGGCTTATATTCAGGTGCGCTCAACAGGGAAGTGTGAGATTGACATCATTGTATGTTCCCATACAGTGGTGAAATTAGTTCTGCAATTAACCCATCACACCTGGGATACACCCAGGTGGAGCAGTGGGCAGCTATGTAAGCGCCCGGGAGCATTTAGGGATTGGGTGTCTTGCTCAGAGACACCATGACATGCGGGAACGGCTGGGAGTCGAACCAATAATTTCTGGTCTTAAGGGAGAGAAACCTCATATCGGTCGATATGTTTACTGTTTAACGTGTTTTCATTTAGCGAGTAAAGTCACCCTTGCAAACGCAGGTTATTCTGCCATTTGAGGAGACGGTTTCAGTTGGAAAGTAAAACTAATAAAAGCAGTTCCTACCTTTGTGGTCAGTGCCATCTCCAAACAGGTCAGCTGAGCTGATGGAGGTGCTGGACGACAGACTCTCCAGCTTCGTCTTTGCATCATACTGGCAAAAAGAACAATAGTTTATACATAAATACACTCTTCCTAAAGGAAGAAAAGTCTAAACATCTCCAGACTCAGGCTTCCACATTTGTACTATAATGTTATGCAATTTGTCACCCACATACTTTATGTATATATACAGCCAATTGTACAAAAAATTAACAGCAAAAAATGAAACACTGTAAAAAAAAAAATTAGTCTATTGATTTTGTCAACTTTAAAATATGCATGCGTTTACATACGTTAAAATTAGTTTTTTAGAAGTGTTTTTTTTTTATACCACATGGGGTTCATATGGTCTGGAGACAGTAGCACTAACAAAAAGACAGGAGACAGAACTGGAAGTGGCAGACATGAAGATGTTGAGGTTCTCCTTAGGAGTGACAAGGATGGAGAAGATCAGGAATGAGGTCATTCAGGGGCGGCTGTGGCTCAGTGGTTAGAGCAGTCGTCCTCCAATGCAAGAGTTGGGGGTTCAAACCCCACAGCAGTCACATGTCGAAGTGTCCCTGGGCAAGACACTGAACCCCTCACAGCCTCTGATGTGTGTCCCATCAGTGTATGAATGTGATCTAAAGCTCTGATTAGTCTCTTTAGAATGATTTGTTCAATTATCTTTGTAGAGATCTAGTATAGAGCTGTATGAACGGGTAAATGAGGACACAGACTGTTGTGTAAAGCACTTTGAGTATCTTGATAAGATAGAAAGGCACTGCTTTATAAGTACAGTCCATTTACCATCATCAGAACGTGATTTATGAATTTTGCTAAAAGTCAACTATGAAATTGTTATGAACTATGGAAAAAAAAAAACTTTAGAGAGGGAGATGTGATGTATACTGTATTGAGACAAGTTAATTACTTTATATTGCCAGTAGGTGGCACTGTGCTGTTATAAAAGACCTGACTGATGACGAGTAAAGGGTGTTGTCTTCCGAACATCAGCGTCTGTCTTATGATACGTTACAAATGTAAACTGAAACGTGAGTTCTTTTCTCGTGTTTAAAGGGCATCAAATCAGTTAATACATACAGATATGACAAAATAATCACAAATTCAGTTGATTTTATGTATTTTATAGTAAAAAAAATAAATAATCTATGATACATGTGATGACAATTATACATAACAAAAGTTAACTGAATAACAAATAGTTTTGCATCGAAGGTCTAATTGATTACTCAAATCAGTGAAACTTAAAAGGCAGATTTTGGACTGGTTCTGTTTGTGAAGTGGTTAAAAATTGTGTCTAAGATGAGTGGTAGTTTGTCTGATAAGATTATTGTGATGCAGGGTCACCAGAAAGGCATTAAAAGTCTTTGTCCTACCAGAACGAGATGTCAGAGCATGTTTCCAACAGCTGCTTAAAATAGTATCAGCAAGGCCTGAGATGCTCCGGTGACTGAGGCTGATTTTTCCTCAAAGTTCACCTATCATCGGTTGGAGGGACAAAGGTCCAGCCACTGGCTCTGAAGTCAGCTGGGATTTACCACACTGCGGTGTGATGGTTCTGGTTCGGTCAGGTTCTCTCTCGTCCTGAGACATCTGCAGAAAGGATGCTTCTCTCCTCTCTGAGTCCAGTGCAGAAACTGGGTTTCTTCTCTCCAGTTCTCTGTGCAGAAGTGCGTTTCTCTGGAGTTTTCTCGACATCCAGTGAAGTGTGTAGAAGTGTAGAAGAAGAAGTGAAACTTAACTGTCTGTGTGTTACAGATTGACTTTGGTCCACCGCAGGAGGGGGTGGTTTAACTCTGTCATGTTTTTTATAAAGGCCTATTAAATAAATATAGTCCTTTTTCTCTGCCTTAAAAGTGTTCATTTTAAAAGAGAAAAATAAGACAAATGATTATCTTAAAGAGAGATGATTTAAAAACACACATTTTCATGAATAAACATTCAGGTATAAAATAAAACAGAAATGACATCTTGGAATTAATAACATGCAGTGTTTCACCAAAAGGTGTCGCTGTCCACCCCTGAAAAGGGAACGTCATTAAACAAAGGGTTCATTAAGGTGTTATCTTCATGGGAACCAGCTCTGGGAGGAAACTCCTTCCTGATAACGGCAAAATCTCAACGTAGCAAGTTGGGATGTTTCGAAACTTCAAGGTCAGTTGAACCAAAACTCTCATTAAACGATCTGTCCGTTTCATGGGAAATGAGTTCATAGTGACAAGACAAGTTGTTTTTTTAAATACATTAGTTCAACTAAGAAGTTTGTGAGCTGAGTTGAACACCTGCAAAACAATGTCTGTTTGTTCCCAAGGGAATAGATGAATCTTGTTTTACAGCTTCAAACACAAAAACACATGAATGATGTTTGTTTGAGATGAGGTGAACTCTTTTTTCTGCTTGAGCTGTGGTGAACTGTTTCTGACGTGGTGGTCCCCTACATGTCCAAACATTAAGGTCTTTGTCCCAGAGTGCATTTACAGACTGTAACCTGGCTTTTTCATGTTGCTTTCAGAGTAAAGTCTTCTTCCTCACCGAGTGTCCTTTCAGCTCATATAGGTACAGGACTAGTTTCACAGTGGATAATGGTACTATAAGACCATCTTCACAAGGTCTTTGGTTTTTGTTTTGGGGTCAATGCCACAATTTGCACCAAACGTTCAGCTCAGGAACACAGAGCCTGTCCCCTTCCTGAGCCATGTGATGGCAGGACGTTCTCCTGGTGTTTATACTTGTGTATAATTGTTTGAACAGGTAAATGTGGAACAGTTAGGCATCTAGAAATTGGACTCGAGATTGAACCAGAGTTGTGGGCGTTGATCACTCTCTTCCTGAGTTCTTGGAAGTTTCTTAGAAACTTTAATTCAAAATCTTACTGGTACTTCTGATCTACAAAGCTCTCAACAACCTGGCTCCATCTTATATTACAGATCTTGTTGTTCCATATTTTCCTAACAGAGCACTTCACTCTCAGACTGCAGGTTTACTTGTGGTTCCTAGAATTTACAAAAACAGAATGGGAGGCAGATCTTTCAGTTCTCAGGCTCCTCTCTTGTGGAACCAACTTCCAATCTCTGTCTGTGAGGCTGACACATTGTCCAGTTTTAAAACTAGGCTTAAGACTTTCCTTTTTGATAAATCCTATAGTTAGGGTCAGCTTGGGTTTCCTGAACTGTCCCTTAGTTCTGCTGCTATAGGCTTAGACTGCTGGAGGACAAATTGACCACACTTTTCACTCTGCTGCTGTCTTTACTTACTCTGCTCAACCCGTTTTATATTTGTAATTATTTTTCTATCATTAACATGAGTTTTTATCTTTCAGGTACTCCTGGACCTGGACCTGCCATTCTGTGTTGCATTTGTTTTTCATTCCTGTCCTCTCAAACCCAGCTGGTCAAAAAGTTGTCTGCTTGTCCTGAGCTGGTTCTGCTGGAGGCTTCTTCCTGTTAAAGGGAGTTTTTCTTTCCACTGTCTCCTTTGTGCTTGCTCAGGATGAGAGACTGTGATGAAGTGAAGATTCAACGTAATCTGCTGCTTCCTTAGATGGACACCTTTTACTAACTGGATTTTTAATGTATGTGAATGTTTTTGTAGTGCCCTGAGACAACTTCTGTTGTGATTTGATGCTATAGAAATAAAGTGAATTTATATCGACATTTGAATAACATTTGGAGAATTGTAATTTCACTGAAATGGCTTAAACTCAGTCAATTCTACAGGTATCAATAAAATCTGTTGTTGTAGAAGCTGAACGTCATTCTCAAAACATGTTGCAAGCATAAAAAGATGTTTCAAGATTTGACATAACATTGTCTAAAGCTAGACCAATGACAACAACTCCGTTAATTCTCAACCTAAGATGATCTTTTGTCTACAACACCTGGCATGGAAGGCAGCAGAAAATGGGTATATATATATATATATATATATATATATATATTTTTTTTTTTTTTTTTTTTAAAGAAAAGCTAGACCTTTAAATCTTTTTGTTTTTGTGTAACTTGGCATATTTGTTAGGGATGCACGATCCACTTTAAAAAAAAATTATTTATTTTTTTTTTGTTCCGATCCGATCCCGATACCTAAATCTGGATGTCAGCTGATACCGTCCCGATATCATGATCATCATTGATTTTATATGAGGCTGTAATAATCTCCTCTCAAGTACAATTTGTACAAATATATGCATGCATGTCCAAAAAGACAACCTGAGGTAAGTTTTATTAATGTTGGATAAGTTTTAAAGTTAGAATTAAATTCTGCTAACACAAAACGTTTGTTTTTTTAATTCCTAACTTTAAAGTGGATATTAAAGTGATTAAATGGCTTCAAACATGTGCTAAGTTCATGGCATAAACCAACACAGACATGTTCCTGTTTTTAGTATTTTACATAGCTTTATAATGTAGC